AGAATGGCTTTTCTCTATTTTGCATGTTGTTCCAATGATATACTGTATTCTGAACCGGTGAGAGCATTTGCTTGTGTAACGATTTAGATTTTATGTGTTGTGTTATTCCGTACTAGTTTGAAAAATGCTTGTTGCGGCGTTATGCCTGGGAGGATGGGCCTAAAAATAACCACAAGAATGGACAGTGTTTTTGTGTTGATATCGGTAATCTCACAAAGTTTGTTTCAGTTCGTACACTCCTACAACGGACGAGTGAAAAATCTTTTCGAATTCGATGCTTGTTCGGAGTTGACGAGCGTGTCAAAAATGCAGGTTTTGCCAGAGACTGTAAATTATTTATGGATTCTTGTAAATTCTAAGCGTCCCCACAGCCAATGAATGAAAAGTACATGTGTGTAGTCACTGTGTTTTGTATCATTATTATATTAGGCATTGTATGATGTGATAGATTCGTAAAAATGATATCAGACACCCCTAAAAAGCAATAGAATCACCCAAGCCCAGAATGCATTGTACGATCTAGTTACCTTGGTTACGCATGCGTGAGCAGTGCGCATGTGCGCATATATAAATAGCCCGCGTCACTTCAAGTCTAATAACAACGCCAGTAACAACGCCAGCTAGTACCTCTAAACCACACTCGGAACTCGGATTTACCAGCTTGGAGCCTGACTAGTGGTGAAGCTGCCGATCTATCATGGTACAAAGGTATGAATTTTGTCCAATAATGGTCAGTTTTAGTGGTTACTTGTTGGTTAGGCCGTAATGTTTGGCATAGTTTTACTTTTTAGCGTATTTTCGTACGACTTCTTCTCCTCATTGTTCTCCGTTTTCCTTTTTCGTTTTGTGTGCTTTTGATAGTTGTGGAAAAGTCGACCATCAAGAAAAGTGCATTGTAAAAGACGTAAAAAAACACGAAAAGACGCTAAAAACCGGCTCCTAAAAACCGTAACAAAATCTCTTGTAAACTAAAGTGGTAGCGAGGAAAAGAACATTGCAAAACACCGTTGTAGTGAGCAAAAATTATGTACGCCCGTCCCGTGCCGACGATCTCAAAGACAACGTTGTACACACTTACCGGTCGATTCGGTGATATGTCTTATCAAAATGGTCCGTTAAAAATATAAATACATCGCTGTTCTCCCGCTCGTTGTGCGTGCCCGCGGAAACCTCGTTTATTTTGAGCACGTCTTTGAACTGATTTGGCCGACAGGTCCCTCCGCGCACCCATGTAGTAAAAATGCCCGGCCTTCGGTCGCACATTATACGGTCGCAAAATGCGTGTCTACCTGGCTCTTAGTGAGGAAATACACATGCGGGTAAATTTGGGACGCCTCGAGGAAATGCACGCAACGGTAGTTAGTCAGGCTCGGTCCGGCATTACGGCGTTCTGCCCTCCACTTTTGCGCCCACAAGATGCGTGTTTACTCGGTTTGTGGTGAGGAATTCCACGGGCGTGCAAGGTCAGCGCAGCGCGAGGACATACACGCGTGCGAACTCAGCACAGCGCGAGGAACGGCACGCGTGCAAACAATCGCGGAAATGAGTATCGGCACGCGTGCAAACCGACGAAAGTTGAGTAACCTCACGTCGTGCAAAACCTCGTTTCGGGTACCCAAAATATAGCTCCATGTGTTCCACACGTTGCGGAGGGACGTCCTGTCCATCGCTGTATAAAGGCCACGTGCGTTCAGTCGCGGGAGCTGGAGTGCTGCTGCTTGCTTGAAATTTACTTTCGCTTACAGTAACTTTGTGGCTGTTCATCCCTTTTAATGTTAGTTTCGACACACCTTTGCCTTGCAAACGCCAGATTTCCCGGTCGTAAGACTCCTGGGGCACGGCATGGTCACCGCCACGGTCTGCTTCTGCCTCTGTAGGCTCAGTGGTCAGTGTTTCTTCGAAATCCCGATGTACATTCTCTTCTGGTGGCAATGATCCCAGACCACTTGTTGAGTCGACTTCTGGATATTTGGTCGCCATTTTGTGTTGGTAGGTAGAATAACAGTCGCTGTTTGTCCGGAATAGTTGTAGTCGTTGTCGGCTTACCGTTCTGGCGCACCTGTTCAAACTTTGTTGACTGCAAGATGTTAAATCCCGGATAGTTATTATTATATAATATTAGTTTGGAAACAAAATGCTGGAAATCCCTCAAGTTCTTACAACTCGGCGGTCGGGTTGAGGTGGAGTGTCACCAAATTCCGGCCACCAAATTCTGAATCTCACGCGCGCTCCAGAGCGTGCACTGCTGTGCTGACGCAACACTTCCGCTGTCGATGCAAGACCCTAAACTGCCCTTTGGTGTTCCGAAAAACGACAGTGCGCTGTCGTCGCTGTGTTTATACCAGCAGTTCGTCTCAAACAAGACAAGAGTCGGTAGAGAAAGTCGCTACGTGTTCCGAAGACTAAGGATTGCTTTCACTAAGGAATGCTTTCACTTTCTTTGAGCTTGCGCGGTGGTCAACAGGTGCTCAGTCATGCGGCTGGCCATTGCCCTTCGTGAATGCAAGGAGGTTCTAACTCCATGGAGAATGGCTACCTGATACTTTTGACCTCTTGCGCAGGTGTACCAAGTTTACTATCCAAGCAGAGGCTTTGGCTTATTTTTGACGTGTTTTGGGGCTTTTTATCGGGCTTTCTTTTTTTGTCACGGGATTCTTTTATGTTTTTTTTTTGGGAGGGATAAAGTGACTTACTAGTATTTTAAGGCATGTAGCATAATATCTTGTAGGTCTGTTGATGTAAAAGTACTAAAACATACGTACATTTTTGGGAGGGGCTGGCACAAAAATAGATACGGGTACAAGAAAGCCTGATAAAAAAAGCGTAAAACACGCCAAAATGAGCCAAATGCTAAAGCCCAAACCTCTGCTTGGAGAGTATACCAAGTTCTGTCTTTTATTTTAGTTTGGGACAGTCCGTATTTGCACGTACGTAAAGGGATGTTATTGAGCCACCCCCGAAAGTTATGAACCCTCAACCTTAAAGGTTTACGGACGCCGCATCGGGGTATTCCACAATTTTGAAATAATAATCACTGCTCAAGGATTTTTTTCCGAACTGAAACATCCGATCGTCTGACTGGCAGTAATCACCTTTCACTCTTCGAGTAAAAAATGATCGTTGATGTGTTTGTTTACAAGCGTAACATAAGAACTGATATATATAATGGTCGTTGGGAGGAACGAATTAGGTCTACAATGTCCAAGAGTAAAACAAACAAAACGATTAGATATAATACAGTATTGACCCGAGCAATAGGATCAACGATGTCATTGTGAGTGCAAACATAAAATTTAAAAGTTTAGTTTAGTGTAGTGTAGTTTAGTTTTGAGATACCCTTTAGCCCATTATGGGCTATTCTTCCAGGGTTCCAATACATGTAACACCACATTTACAAACACAATCGTACATATTTACACTTAACATACAGCATGACACACAAGTGAATATCTAGCCAATTTTCAATTTATTTATTTAACCAGTAATTACAGCTCTGGCCATTTTGGCCTGCTTTTCAGTTACATGTAAGAGGGTCTGCATGGGGGGGTCCTGGCAACGGTTAACGGTAAATTCAGCAGGGCCGATAACGCTTAACGGTAAATTCAGGACGGTCGGCAACGCTTAACGGTAAATTGACAGGCTTTTTTTTTCGAGCTGCGCTGGATTTGGTATCTCGCTTTGTGAGAAAAGGTGATCACTGACAAAATTACGTATACCTTAGATGTAATGAAGCTTAAGCATGCATTAAAGGTATGTGTTCCCAGTGTTTCCCACCTGCCCTGGTACCCGAGTGCGTCCACAAATACCGGTTTTCAGTCTGCCCAGTTTTACCGATGGATTTTGAGAGGGGAGCGCCGAAGGCGCTCGTAATCTAGGGGGGTCCAGGGGAATGTTCCCCCGGGAAATTTAGGATTTTCAAGCCTTCAAAAACGCAATTTCCGGCATTTTGAGAGGCAAATCATGTGTGAGTGTTTGTTGGCCCTTCTGATGTTTTCATATTTTACTCAACATTTTTGTTAATTTGCCTGTCAAGGTTGACGGATTCGTTAAAAAAATTCTGTAACTCTCCGCAAACGTCCGGAAATTGAAGGAAAAACTGGTTCTGGCTAGAGCCGAAGGGACCGAGCGCAGAAGCGCGAGTCGAACGCCAAAGGCGCGAGCAATGTAGGGGGGTCCGGGGGCATTCTCCCCCCGGGAAATTTTGTATTTTTAAACCTTCAATGACGCATTTTCCTGCACTTTGAAATGCAAAATTAGGCGTAACGAAGAATTATTCATTAACGCTTAACGCTGAATTTAGGATGACAAATAACGTTTTACGTTGAATTAAAACGACCAATAACGCTTCACGAGGAATATACTGATAACGCTTAACGTTGAATTAGAGCGGGCCGGCAACGATTAACGGTAAATTAAAATAGCCCATAACGGTTAACGAAAAAGGGCATGCAGACCCTCATGTAATCCTCAGGATACACATAAAAATACACACAACAAATACACAGTACATAAACAATTACTATATGCAACATCCTGAACATTTAATGGAATTATCTGACCATTATCAGTCCATACTACCTTTACTATTGTATATATGTTGTGAAATAATATCAAGCACGTCTGTGCAAAATAACCAAGGTGAACGTAACCTTTATGATCGGGTCTGCCAGATTTTGTACAACTTTAACTATTTAAAAAAAAAAACAATATGATCAGGATTTGTTTTGTATTACATAATATGCATATGTGAAAAAAATATTCCTTGTAATTCATCATAACAAATTGAAGCCACACTTAATGTTCATCTTTACAGGTACGTGTATGATATTATTACTCATATCATAATAGTAATGTACCCTTTATAACAGAGGCCTTCTATATTTATCCATCTCGAATTCACCTGGAATATTATTTTCTGCATGCTCAAAACATTCGGGCCAGCCACAAGAATGGGCACACATATTTGGGATGTAGTTAGATTATTTCTAGAATGTAATTTAAATATCCAGGAATATACAATGAATTTTACACCTACACAGACAGCTTTCCGGTTCATTCCCCCTCTTGTGTAAAGGGGGAATTATCTGACAATTAATTGACAATTATCTGTTCTTACCAGTACTTCAAGTTCAACGTTTAGTCACACTTCAGCATGAAGTGTGACTGCTGCAAAAGTTTAGTCACACTGACGCCATATTCATGCATGTCCATCTCCAAATATTGTTTCAAATTCAAACTACAAATAGTCTCTATAGCTACCGTGCCATATGATAGTGAGTACCATTCTAAAATCACAAAAGTATGATAGCTCCTGACAGTAATAGATTGTTTAACATAGAATAATAATGTGTGTGTATGAATTTGCAGTGTACTGTGTAATCATATCTATCTACTATCTATTTGTTTGCCATACATTGAGCCAAGAACATACTAAGTTAGTCATATGAATCATCTCCATTTCAAATCTCAACGTAATTACACTATCCTCCAAATTTTATAACACCTATTAAATTTTTCATCTGTGTTTAATAGCTTGTACAGCATTATCTCCATATGAACGTATGAACACAACTGTTTATCTAAAAACTAATTCTTAACCCCTCTCTCCAAACCAGTGCCTTTCCCTACAGTCTATCCCCCACTCCTCCTCACACAGCCAGCACCACTGGAAGCGGCACCTCGGACAGGTCATGTGCATACAGCCATCTGAGGAAACAGAAGTTATATTTGCATGGGTAAGAAAAAATGTCTTCTACATCTATATATAGTTGCTATACATTTAAATTACTTTATAGCTAGCATGCATTTTGGCGAAACTCAAGGGTTCCAACATCTAAATGTATAGTATGGGGAAATGCTGATCGAATTACATAATAAGGCCACACCAATTTAATTTGTTGGTTCTCGGATTCGCCTCTTCGTTTTTTTCTGATTTGCAAAAAAAAAAAATTTGATTCTGGTCCTGAATCAACTGAAAAATACTCATGTTTTGCCCCCCAGCAGTTGAGGAAAGTCCTTTTCTTCCTAGTTGTTACAGTTTTCCCATCTATCATTGCAGTGGTTTGATTAAAAGTTCAAAATTCAATGTTTAAATTTTAACCCAGCCTTTTGTGTTGACTTCATGGCTCATTTTGTAGCATTTAAGCCTATAATAGGATGCCTAGACCTGTTTTTATTTGTATTTTTTTTTCGCCCTGTCGCTTCATATTTTTTCTGAAAAAATCCGAGAACCAACAAATTAAATTGGTGTGGCCTAATAGAATATATAATTCGACTGCACAGTTAGGGCAGCATCACTACAAAGCTTTAAATAACTCCTGCAATTAAATGTTCAAAGATTAAATGTGACAAGTCGTTCGATGTGATACAACTGTATAGCCAGCTGCTGCTATGCCGCGTGCCTGCGAAGCTGGTGTGTTATGCTGAAGGGCGGTTATACTGGCTATACCGATACAGATGATGTAACTTACTCTGGTTTTTATGTTTCATACCATAATTAATTATTACAATGCACATTACTGGCAGCCTTATTATACCATATCGAAGCACACCCTGTCAATCAACTTAACCCCAATCCCAGCCCACTCATGAACACTTCCAACCCTTGCTGCTGGGAACGAATTACATACAAACTCCCCCTAAACCAGTGCCGCCCAAAACAATACTTCCTTCCATCCTAATCATAGCTTACCGTTCTTCTCGGTGCGAACCTTACATCCGGGGCAGGCCTTGGTGGTTCTCGCGATGGTGGCGGCTGTGCGCCTCTCCCAGCGTGCACGGCGAGCCCGCTGAATGTCCACACGGTAGTTCTGTGGTATAAAATCGTCCATAAACGATGTGCTTATTTCAATATGATGTAACAGTTTGAAGGAAATTCGTCTATATCGGAAATAATTCTTTATATGCAGCGGCCATATGATTGAATCAATGTTTTTGATAAATATTCATACTTAAACACACAACAAAAGTTCAGCTACGCTGGGGAGCTTTTGAGATGTACTCTGTCTCTTCTTCAACCCGATTAAGATCTCGTCTTGGAGTTCTCTTGTCACGTGACTTGATGTGATAATCACGTGACAAGAGACAGTCATATACAGGTGTATATCAATGTTGCATACTGGATATACACGCAGCCTAAAGATGTGTTTTGAATACGGCGCGGTCACATTTATAATAGTCGTAGATCATTGTGTACGATGTGGAGATTGTAAGATTTTAAAACAGATGTCAGAGTGTGAAAGAACCAACCACTGACAAGGATCTAATAGAATTTTTGGACGAATAAGACAGATGAATTTTGCTTGTAGGACAGATTGCATGACTCAAATGCATTCCGTTTGCAATTGTACGACGATCGTACAGCGAGTGTATAATGTCTTCTCAGTACTTACGTTAGCTGGTGCTGAGGGCTGTGGCGCAGTCTCACCACATGGACCAGTGTGGTAAGCTTCCTTACAAACCTTGCAGAACACGAACTGGGAAAGGATCGAATTTCAGATGTTCAGAACTAGTTTGTGCGGATCAAAATAATGCTTCTTTTCACACCTGCATATTAAGATTTAACTTGTACCACCATGTTTGTTTCTATGTCAACAAAAATCTGGTTTAGGAAAATCTCAGACAAATTTTAAAGCTTAGTGACTCACCCCACAGCCACTGCCTGCCTGCCGTACACACTCCACCATGTTGGTGGTCCCGTCCGGTAGTATCCCCACCCCACAGCCCCTCCCCGGACACAGCACCCCACCCATCTGTAACACACACTCCTCCGCACCGAACCGCTGGTAACGGTCATACTGCAGGAAAACAAAACGTGTATGATAGTCAATTTGATTACGTATGATAACTTTGGTGTCAATTTTAGCCAACAGCCCCAGAAACAGACAATAGACTATGCACAGCCCAAAACAAGAAAACTACAACATGAAACAGAAAGCTTGTTTAACTTCACTGAAGGAAAGGTCAATGACCTGGACCAGACACCTGTAACCATGGTAATTGATGATGTGGTGTTGGAGTATGTTATGTAGCAAGTTGAGGGAAAGATTTGGGTGGACTCATCTGACACCATTTTGAGTGTCTCATTGTGAAGGTAAATTATACATGTATTTGCTTTGCAAAGTCAACACTGTGTTACTTTGTTTTACAGATAGAACATATCCATATGGACTTCTTAGTTATACTATAGTCCGATTCAGTAATGAATCCTACCTGTTCCTCTCCCAGCATTCTGAAATGATGGACCTCCTTAATCAGAGAGTTGTCACAACCACCTGGATGGACAAATTGGAATTAAAGCTACTAAGGACAAGTAGGACGTATCATAATTCACAATGTTGACCAAGAGCACATTCAAGAAGTCTTGATGGGTTGATATAAACTCTACCTGGACAGGGAAGCGTGTATCCCAGCGTGGGGTGTTGAATGAACTGTCTGTCATTCAACTTGGTGACGCAGTAGCGGGCGAAGCAGTCCAGACACATGACGTGGCTGTCAGCGCACTCAAACACCATCACAGGGGTCCTGTGGTAAACATTGTAATAATGGTGCTTTAGCTAATCACCAAGCAGATCCTGCAGGGTGGCAAAAATACAGTAAGTGTATCAAATTGGCCCAGCAGTTTCCATTTGACAGAGAGGGTCTCTGCCTGGCCAACTTGATACTGTATTTTTGTCACCCTAGGATCTGCTTGGCGATAAGTTTTAGCAGCGACATCTAGCAGTTATGTTAATGTCTGCAGCATTCTGTCTAGATCTTACAGCGAGGCTTGCTTGGTTTCCTGAATCCCCCTTGTCGACCTCTAGGTCCTGCTAACATCCCCAGCCAGACCACCTGTCATTGTGCCTGTTAACCATCCCACCCAAGTGCTATCAACCTACCCTGTCTAGACACACTGACACACAAACCCACAGCTCAGTCACCCAGAACAATACTACCATACCTGTCACTTTATACAATAGGGAAATGGTGTAGACGTACCTGACGTAAGTACAGGCGAGACAGTCCACGTGTTGCGTGTTCGTCCTCACCAGCGGCAGTGCCACAGACGTGTCATCTTCAGACGTGGGATGGTCCGCACACTTAAAGTAGAACTCCTACGTTTGAAAACAGCAAAAAAGTCAAGTCCAATGTTTTGTAACAGTGTGATTAACAGCGCTTCAATAGCGACATCTAGCAGTTCAGTTCATGTTTGCAGCGCGCTAAGGTAAAAGACAGTGAACTCCACTCACGGCCACGGTTCCCGCACACCCGCTGGACAGACACCTGCCCTGGATCCTTCTAGGCACCAAGACGTCTTCCCAGCAGGCTGGGTCCTAAGTAGATCAAAATAAATGTAGTCTGAAAAAAAGCATTCATTTTTCAGCTGTATGAGATGTAAAGAAAGTACAGTATACTACTTACTAACTATCACCAGTTTCTGTTGATTGAACCATTCTTTATTCATGAAAAGCTCAACTGTTGTATGTAGTGAGTGTCTCACCCTGTTCAGAGTAAGTGTTGTCTGTCTGCACGTGCCACACCTAACCCTCAGCTTCCCAGGTTTGACTGCCTTACAGGGCTGTTTACAGTACACGAAGTACGATGGGAGGCTTTCAGCAGCTGAGGAAAATCAATTATAGGAAATCTTACTTTTTAAGATGTTATTGATAAACAAAAATATTGATAAACGTAAGGTATAGATAACTAAGAGATTTCTGGGAAGTTACTTTGTTTATTGTGACACCTCTTCCTAAATTCCTCCACATATCACCCACTTACTCCCACTCAATATCTGTTAAACCTTGTACAAGAAACACACAAACTCACAAGTCAGCCTATCAAAACAATACTTTCGTACCCGGAATTAATAATGTGTTGGTGGGTCTGCTGTTTCATGATTTCCAGAGGTCTTCCACAATACCAACATACAAAGAAACAAACAAACAAACAAACTTGTTTCAGTTTTATAAACTTGTTTTGGTTTTACAAACAAACAAAGCTGTTTTGGTTTTACAAACAAACAAACAAACAAACCTGCAGCAGCACCAGCCCCAGCGGGTTGTAAGTTCAGGTCTACATCGCTGAGAGAGCGGGGCGCTGTAGCATGGCTCCGGGCGTCCACTGACAGCTGGGGCAGTCCACTTATGGCATGGACAACAGTCTGCTGACCAAGGCCACAATCCTTGGGCAAAGCAAATTGACAAGAAATCGCAGAGATTTCAGACTTCCGGGTAGTGTTTTTTTGTGTGAATGTACTGGAATTATATTGCATGATCATGGGGAAATACACGATTGAATTGCATCATAGAATATTGGATTAATATCCAAACATATATAAGGTTGAATGACTCTCTCTGGTATCACACCATGGTTTATGTTTCATACCATGATTACGTATATACAGGACACATTCCTGGCAACCTCATACCACATCCTACCACCCAGGGTATACCGGGCCACAACCCTGTCAATCAACTAAAACCCAATCTCCACCCACCCACTCACTTCCAATCCTCGCCGCTCAGGACACGATGCTTACAAACTCCTCTTGAACCAAAACCACCCAAAACAACACTTCCATCCCGGAAGTCACAACACTACACTTACCTGGATTCTCAGTGAATCCGGTAGATCCCTACCAGCGAAAAGGATATGTATCTGGTCAGACGGCACGCCCTGTACCCTGCCCACCTCCTGTTTGAACCTGGCGATGGTCCATGACGTGTTGACCCTCACTATGAAACTGTGGTTCGAGTTGAACCTGACCATGACCTGCAGGGTGCCCATGACACAGCTTTGGAGGCCAGAGCCTACCTAAGGAGTTATAGATGGTAAGATAAGGGTAGCATATCGCATTGCACTGGGCGGGCAAGTTGGTTTCCATATTTAAATTTAAGCCTTGTTTTGTGGAACATGAATACGTTGAAGCAATGCAACGGTGTTCTTGTCTGTTTGCCTATCATTAGATACAATGTCCCCCTTTAAGATACTAGTACTGTAGCGTGAGGTGTGTGGATTACTCGATGGTGCAATATAGACTTCGGCGCCAGAGGGAGCAGCTTTGTGGGCCACCTGTTACACCGCCTCCTGATAAACTTATCTTTGAACATGACCCAAGTATGCTGTAGAAAAGTTTTCTCGGCTTATTTCCCATTCTACCTTACGCACAACTCAAACGTTGTTGTATGCAATGGCCCATGATATTATATATTATGTATTTTTAATAATGTACTTCCGGGTATGCGCATATGGTTGTACTAGTACCAAGACTGGTCTGTAACTATTAAGCTCATATACGACATCAATAGCTTTTACATGCTCTGTGGTATCGTGATTGTGGCGGGCTGTGTTCTATTTTTCCCCGTCCAGTTCAACAGAACGCCCGGTAGGCGTGTTACACCTGTATGGAGCTTTGCACGCTAGGAGCCGATTAGCCTCACCGCGATAATTGAACCCCCGTCGGGCAAAACCCACCGGGGAGTTGAGTTGAGTTGGGGGTTGAAGCACCCCTGTAGCCCCGAAGAGAACCCACCCCAACTGCGATAGACTGGACACCAGGCTAGCTCTGGATTTTAAAAATTTATAACGTTAAATCCTCTTTTAGGAAGCGTAGTTTTCTTACCAATTGTGCGGGCGGTGTGCTGGTCCCGAGTACAACGGTCACGGGTACAATGTAGGTACGCGGCGTCACATGACATGGAAAGTCCCTTTTCACCTTTCGTTTTCACCGCGGGTGAATGACTCCTCGGTTAGAGTACGTGTTAAGGCCCATTTGCCACATAAAGTTGCAATATGTAACATTAGAATGACACAAAAAGTCGATTTTCTGGTCATTTCTGTTCAAATAAGTGTCATTCAGGGAGTAGAAGAAAGCTGTAGATATCAATAAAATTCATACATGCAGATACATGACCAATCGCATCTTGATACTTTTTCCACTTAAATGGTTTTTTTTAAAGAGATTGACACACTTTGCTTACTTTGTGTCTTCCCTGCCGCTTTCACTTTCTAAAGCAGGAATCTTTACCGACGTTGTCGAGGCTACAAAGAGCACATCTAGGCAGTTTGAGCTCGGTGCGTTTTTGGGATGTGTTCTTTTACTGACTGTCCATTTGGGTGGCTGGTCAGCCCGATTGTCCGTACTCGGTCCGGCTACAGCGTCCGTTGTCCCCGCGGCATTTCCAACACGGCTGGAGCTCGGTGCGTTTCTGGGATTTTCTGCCGCTCTTCGGCTGACTGCCCACTTGGGCGGCTGGTCAGTCCGGTTATCCCTACTCGGTCCAGCAACAGCGTCCTTTTTTCCTGCTGCACCTCCAACAATCTGAATGTTCACCACTTGGTTCGATGACAACCCCAACTTTTCCCGAACCGCGTTGGCGAGTCGTCGCGCCCTGCGATGCAATGCTTCCCGAATCTTCTTGATCCTGAGCGCGTAGATGACCGGGTTGATCGCCGAATTGCAGAGCGCGATCAGGAACCCCCAGTACGGCCGTGCCTCTATCTCACAGTCTCCGCTTGCCATGCACGCAAACTGCCGCACACCCCCGATACATATCGGCAGCCAGAAGATAACGAACACCGCTGCAATGATGACAACTGTTACCTGCGTCCTCCACGTCTTTCGGAGCTGCTGGTACTGTCTGGCCGCGACTCGCTGTTCCCTACGGTGCGCGGCGGGCAGATCGTCCCGAGGGTTCCCGGGGGGCCCTACTCTAGAGAGGCGCCTCTTCAGTTCGATGCAGATTCTGACGTTGACGAAGACCACTATCACCACGGCCGCCAACAAGATGGTGTTGATCAGAACCGGGTAGCTTACGGAAAAGACGACTAAGCAGTCTTCTGTGGCCGTATTGAGGCAGTTCCAGCCCATGAGAGGAGACAGGCAGACGAGCACACAGGCTGGCCACGCGATCCCCAAACTCACGGCAACGTGTCGCCCAGACGTCGACATGTGGGCCTGGTAGAATATCGGGTGGAGGATGGACAGATAACGGTCCCCGGACAGGAGGACCACGCCAACTGCTGATGAAACCAGCACTAAAAAGAAGGTACAGTATATGCCCATCATTGTCCACGGTGGAAAGACCTCCAATTGGAAACTGGCGCAGAAAAAGAACGAGAACAAACCCGCTATGCAGTCCGCCACAGCCAGGTTTGCTACAAACATGTACATCGGTTTAGACAGTTGATGGTTTTTCAGCACCCCGGACAAAACCACGACGTTCATGAGGAGAGCGACTGCCCCGACAGCGGCGGAGGCGATCCCGACTTTCTTGTTCTCGTCCAGAACCGACTTGGGGAGATGAGAGCACGCAGCTACGGCCAGGTCGTACTCGGTCTTGTTTTCCAGGTGCCAGAGGAAGCACGGCCAGAAAGTCTCGAATGCAGTGGAGTTTCCTCCGGTGAGATTCGCCGTGCTGCCGTTCATTTTGCGATGCTCACTGAAGACACGTATGCTGCCTGTCGCATTAAGAAACGCTGATCTGAGGGCTTTTCCGTGATTAACTAGATGACTACCTCCGACAAATCTCTCGGCTGCACCTGAGCCCTGGAGATTATAAGTTGTCGTTACGTCAGTGCTACGAAAGATTGACACATCTTGCCGCTACCGTTGCCATGGCAATACAAACACTTGGATGAAGATTAAAATAACGAGGAAACCTACCGGACACATTAAAATGAGGTTTATTCACACGAACAGACATGTATGTCACGATTGTGTATATGCAAGTTTCATATGTCAGGGTAGAGATTCCAATCGGACTTTGTAGATTTCAAGATCGCTCGCTCACAAGACAGTCGGAACTTTTCAACTTTGATTCATGTCACTTGGATCAATGGGTTGATTCGAAATTTTGCCAAATGTAGGATTTGCAAATGGTAGACCACTCTAACACAACAACACCTTTGATCACCACCATATAAAGACTATAAAGACAAACCAAGTGTTGCATCTCCAGAGATAATGTAAGATCAGAGGCACAAACAGAACTTTGTTGACAGGGGACGCATCTGGCATGATGGTAGCTAATGATGTGGGCGAGGGCTGAGTCATTACTTACAACTCGTTGGCTGACTTTTAAGATCTGGAGGCTCAAAAGAAGAACCAGAAAATGCAGTTTCTCAACTGTTTTTGTGTTTTGCGTGTGTGTGTTTGGGTATTATTTCATTTCTTATAATTGATACATGTAGTTTCATTGGGTGTAAATTATATACAACAGACTGAGTGAGTGAGTGAGAATGAGTGAGTGAGTGCAGTTAACAAGGATATTTTAACACGTAGCGCAAAGAGGTTATATAGTGATTTTCTTGGGACATAAAAATGTTTTCCTTTGTGAAGACAGAAATGCCAAACAACCTTCCCAGTTTCAGTTTTTTATTTGTTTCTACTAATCCACAACAAACCTAGCCTGGGTCCCATCCTTCGTAGTTTCCGCACGCCCCTACTATATATACTTAGTCTAGTAAATGTCGCTGGGCATTAGGGAGCGGATAATCTCCAAGCAGAACTTTCGATGGGCAAATGGATTACAGGCTACCCCCACCAAAAGATCTGCTTGGAGATTAGGGAGCTACGGAGGATGGCACCCAGGCTACAACAAACCATGGGACAACTTAGCCTCCTGTGATCTCCTGTGCTGAGTTTTTAACGCGTTATTTTAATATAGCCGGCCATCGGATGATCCTACATATTATAGCCACCGAGAGAAGGTTCCTTTCCGCGGGGCTAGGGACAAGTTCCTGAGGAAGCTAATTAAATCAGCCTGGCCCACATGTGTAAGCCTGTCCTAAATAAGCGGGGGGATTTAGGGGAAGAAGCATTATTTGTAGAATTTATTTTCCCCTTAACAGATAAATAGTGGTCTGGTTGCGTTGGGGTTGAAATACCAATAAGTTCTTTATAGCGATTTTCCTAAGTTCATCGCAAACTTAGGAAAACGGTCACGATTTAACTTTGAGAACACAATTTTCACCCCTATGACGAAATCAGGCATGGTACCGTCCGTTCAACCAGGTGTTCGTGGAGCCACGCTGTCGTGCCGCGCACCACGAGGGTTTTGGACAAAAAGGAACACAACATTTTGTTTGGGTAAAATTCTGGCATTTTTCTAGCAAAATACCCGTCTTAATAAGTTTGTTTAGTCTTTTGAATGTGTCCTTCGTGTCTTTGAGCCGTTCTTTGGACGTTCGAGGGAGTCATTGTGGATTTCCTGACCAAGTGAATGTTGGACACGAATTTCTTGAAGAAAGGAAAATGGCGACTTGTCGAGAACCGGACAACGTGGTGTTGGAAAAAACTCGTTTGTATAAGGTAAGGCAACCAACTATCTCGTTAAATGTGTAATCAACAAACCCGTAACTACAAATGATGTATATTATGTGCAAACCTGTGTGTTTTCTGCACATTTTTTTTAGTTTTAAGCTGGTTTGTACTTGGCCATGATGTATAAAAAAAAACCGTTTTCGTGCCCTTCTTTTGCTTTAGCCTTTGAGTTGTTGTCTTTGCTGAATAACTGAATATATTTCTTCCGTGTTGAGTGACATGGAGATATTAACTATGGGCTAATTTCGGTGGTGAAAACTGGTATGAAAATGTTTTATTTTGTTTGAAAGTAAGTCACTCCGGCGTGCCTGGCTCGGCCACCACCTGGACATAATTAAACCCTTCCAATTTTCGCGCCAAAAATGGTGCGTAATCTCCAAGCAGATGCAGGGTGTGTTCTGTGTATTTAGGCCTAAAAGTTGATTTGAATGACATGATATGGTATTTTACTCCCAGTGGAGTCCATTTTTCTCTGTACATTTGAATGTTTAACATAAAATATGGAAATAAATGAAATAAATTTAAACAAATGACTATATATGGAGTCGACAAGGAACTTGCGTTTCGCAGGCTACTACATTGTAGTACTAGTATGGTGACCAGGGACAAGAACATTTGACTATGTGTAGCTAGTGTTCAGGAACAGGCATGTTTGGCTATGTGTGGATGGCGCTCAGCACCAAGGACAGGCACTACACTACAAACTTTTACATTTTTGACACGTACTTATATTTCTCTTCCATGAGAGTGTTGGCATCAATACTCTACCGAGTTTCACATCACATTTTCGTTTTAAACATGACAAAAAGAAAGAAAAAAGACAAGAAGTGCACTTTAATTTCACCTAGAAATAATTGCATTATCTTTATTCAAATTATCGGCTGAGGACTAACAGGTGGGAACTACCCATGAGGCCATGTGATCTCAGAAGTTCCAAGATGGCGGCCGAACATGGAGCGGGAGAAACTTCTGCTGAAACTTCGTCTCTGGAAGACGACAAAAGTTTGTTTAAGGAGGTGAGTAGTACGTAACTTTGTTCTCTGTATCCTTGTGACCACTTTTGAACAGTCTTGTGTGAAAAGACGCCGTAACACCACTGAAATATGACCGAGTTTTTTTAGAGCATGTGGCGTGGCATACACGAGGGTGCATAAATTATGGTAAGGCCACAGCAAATAAATTTTATGGATGACATCCTCCGCAGACTCCAAATCTTATGCGAGCGGGCTAAAAAAAATAAGGCGGGCCAAAAAAAAACAAGGTTCCTACATTTTAAAATTTTGACTCAATCATTGTACAATAATTCTTATTCAGTGGGAACATCACATATACACAGCCAGCATCACATATCACTGCATCAATTAAAGTAAGAAACAAAACATTAAATCAGAGCCTTTTCTTGTCTCCTCTCTTCATAGTTATCAGCCATCCACGTTCCGACATGGCAACAGACATCTTTGCCCATTTTCGGCATGTTGACCACTGTCAGAAGGCAGCAAAATTTCTTGTTTTTTCCTCTAAAATCAGGCAAAAATAAATGCGCGCGCTGATGTCATCCATAAAAATTACTTGCTTTGGCTTATGGTAATAGCCTTTGACCATTTTACATGGTCTGACCGTGTTTTCTTTACATCCATGGTCTGACAACTTTAGTTGGATATCGATGTACATGCATGTGGCACTGGTTCAAGTCATTATATAGAAACTTGATGTTTTATGATTTACTTATGATTATAAAATGGATTTAGTTGGTTATATTTCAGTGTTAATAAGTTCTTTTTCCTTACAATGCACGTAAACTTATAATTTTTGATAGGTTTCTAGCCTTTTAGAGGAATTTAGAATGTTCTCAAACTGCTTTTTTCCCCATGATGTTGTGTCAAAATGACCTGTGCTTGAAAGTTGTTGAAATTCTGTTTGAAATGAATTTCACGTGTTGTTGGTTACTGTATTGAACTGCTTACTAGTGTAGTAGATTGTATTTCATGCCCTGGAGTAGATGCTGTTTTTGGCTATGATAGTATGATATTTCTGTAGCTGGCAATATTCTGTCAAAATATGTGCAAACTTGTTGTATGGATTGTTTTGATCTGGAATGTTCTGTGAGCTGTATTTTTATGTAATTGTTGTTTGGTCATGTTTTTTTTGACAAATGTTTTTAATATTAGAATGTAGGATGTATCGTGTTTGACTTGTATGACTTGATATATGTAACTTTGGCATATGATAATTTTACTGAATGTGTTTGTCTTTTACACCCCAGGTTTGGGAAGCGAATACTGTATACCTGACCATGTGGGACCTGTCCATGCTCCTGTGTGTGCTGTGGAAACTGTGAGCTGACGTATATGTTCTGTGAATATTGTTGATGCATGTAAATTTGGCCTGTGACTTTTCTGAATGTGTATTTCTTTTACACCCTAGGTTTGGGAAGCTGATGCTGTATACCTGACCATATGGGACCTGTCCATGCTCCTGTGTGTGTTGTGGGACCTGTCAGCTTTCCTGTGTACCTGTCCTGGAGGACCTGTCTGTGTTCCTGTTGGACCTGTGCACCGGATCACATTCCAGGAGGATCTGTGTTCCTGTCTATTCCAGGAGGATGTACCTGTGTTTCTGAGGGACCTGTCACCAGCTACGAGACAAGAGAACATCGGACTTGACCGTGAGTTTCCTTTTATATATAGAACTCTTTCAAAATGGGGTTTGCATGCCGCAATGCGTAATCGCTCGTTTTACAAATGTAGGTTTGCATGATTTCAAGCCGGGTCGTTCTATTTTCCATTTAAACGTAAATAATCCTCATAAAAAAAATCGAGCCTGTACAAGTGACGTGCAATATGGGGTTGCTCCTTTGCACAATTTTGTGCCTTGCCATTTGAATTTGCATAATTGGTGGTAAAAAAACTCGGATTTAACATTAAATGTAATCTACGTGTGTAAAGCAAACAGACTGCACGAATGAAGAGTAAACCGTGGTAGCTGCCTTCCAGAATTTAGCGCAAAGCGTGATCAGGACCTCCCATGCAGACCCTTAGAATTGACAGTGAAAGATGTTGGGAAAGGGCATGTTTGTGATCCTCTGAATTTCTAGTTTAAAACAC